GTGGCCAAGGAGCTTGATGAAAATAGCTTTCTTCCATGGTTTTTGGAAGCGAGAATTCAATCTTTTCCCGAACACAAATTCTGGACAAGGATAACCCCTCTCCTCGGCTTCAATGACTCCCACCCATTCTCCCATGTTTCTTCCTCATCTCCTTCTTTCTTTGAATCTATCTCCTCATCTGACCAAAACATGTTAGTTCCACTTCCTGAATCCTCCGTTTCTGAACCCAGATCCCCCACTAATGAATCTCTATAAGACTTTCGGTTAGGCCCTTTATCCTTTTGGTTGTTCTCCTCATCAACTTCCATTCTGCTCTGCTCCGCCCCCGATCCTTTTGGGTCCTTGCCCATCTCAACACCCCCACGAGTCATGCTCACCACTTTTGATCTTCTTCGAACTTCTTCTGATCAAGTCTTCCACCTCCGCTAATGTTGATTGTTGATTTGATGATCTTGCTAACTCTATTTTGTCTTCAATTGGAAAATGTTAATTTTTGAATTCGAAAAATGGTGCAACTCACAAAATAAATAAATACTTTGGCTTCCACTTTCAAAAACTAAAATTGGAAAGCTTGGGTGGAGCCAACAGCGAAAGGGACAAGGGGAAAACGACTAGCGTCTCGCGGTTGTCTAATCAATTTTGTGAAAACTATTTTTTCTAAATTCATTTGCTTTGAATTTATTTTTAATTTTATTTTTTATCAAAATTATTATTTTTAATAGTCAAGTAAAACGCGGTATTTGGTAACCAGTGACTATAGATGGATGTTAGTTGTTGGATTTAACAAATCCATCCAGCAAATTCAGAGAAATGGGTTAGAAACTTGGGTCCATTCAAGTCGTGATTGAAATAGAATTTTCTCCAGCGTTTGAACTCCCCTTGGCCTTACCTACCCCCCACGAGAAGTCCTACGTTGCACCGGCCATATCCGTGGCAATCTAATGGTTAAACCTCAGCCAATACCATGATGCCACGTGTTATAATTAAAACATCGGTTCTATTAAAACTAATGGCACCATTATATTGGCTAGATATGATTATCAGGATTGCCCCTATATGTGCCCGGCACAACATAAAATTTCTCTACTACCCACCCATTCTAATAAAGGTGAAGAGAGAATCGTTTATTTGCGTTTTTAGCAAAGTCTCGAAATTTTACCATTAAATCCTATCATCAATTTTTATATTTATAAAAAATACACGTATAGGATTATTATCTTATTAGAATAGTATTCAATATCAAACTCTTTATTTTAAACTTTTTTTAAATGATTTGGACCGATAAAATTTTGTCATCAACTTATTTTGAAGTTATTTTCCTCATTACCTAAAAAAATTTTGTTATCAATTTAGTACCCAAAAAAAGAAATATTTATTTTCGTATTTCAATTTTTTTCTTAATAATGACAAAATTCTATTATAATCACGTAAATCACCAAATAATTTTAAATATTTATTATAATTTTATTCCAACATCACTTGTTTGAAAATCACTTCTACTTCTTATATTGCAATAAAATTTTTCAGACTGCTAAACAATTCCAAAAGAAGCCGGCGTGTTCGTCATTTCCCTTCATAAACACATGTTTTCAGTCTGCACCCATGAATTTTGACCGATCAACTTGTCAGATTCATTGAATTGAAGGCGAAAAATATATGTATCAGATTCCTTACTCGTCCTTATTCTCACACGTGGCAGTATATATAAGATAAGATCTAAGTATATCAATCAATGATCCCTCAACTTCAGTCCAGTGTTCATTTTGGTCCTTTTACTATTTTTTGTGTTTAATTTGATCCCTCAACTTTTATTTACAGATAAACAAGAATAAATGGATGCAATATTTACATTTTCCATCAACCATTGATGAATTGACAATCTAGGTAAGATTTCTAATAATCCAGCAAGAAAAATAATAAAAACGAATATACCATATTTTTCCTCAATTAAAAATTAGAATAATTTAATTCTTATCATTGTGTCTTATCAAAAATTAATCAACTGTTGTTGCCACCCAAATTAAATCGTAAATTGGCACTAGCTTGCCAACTATGCCATTAACTTTGACTTTGAAGCATTAGGTGATAAGGTTGCTCACATTATCTTTAACTCATCCTTAATAACCATCAAATTCCAACATGAAGTCATCATTAAGAACTATAAGACTACTAAATTACTAACACTCAAGGAAAATGCTGACAATAAGAGTGTAAATAGAGACAACAACCCAAGTCAGAGCGAAATGACAAGCCAGTGATGATATGGATGATCGGTGATGGTCTATGCCTAGAAATTGAACATTATCTAGTTTGCCTTTCTCTCATCGTTGACAAAATTCATAAAAGAAAATATGACTTTTCTCTTTCCTCTTCCAAAAGCCCTAATTACCATCTGATTTGGCTTCCTCCTTGCTTCGCCGTTTGTTTCTTCATTTTAAAGTATCCATCTGTGAGTCAATTTCTCATTTCGTGATATTACAATATTTGGATTTTAGGGTTTTGAGTTTGTATATTGGGTAATTAAAATTTGAAAATTTTAATTGATTTTTGAATTGGGTGTTAAGATTACTGTGATTTGTTTGTATCTTTTAAAAATTTGATATGTAGTTTGGACATTATCTGGATTAAGTATAGAAATAGTTATTAATATGGAAAGGAAATTAATAGTCTTGAAGATGATGACTGCAATTGGGTCTAAAAGAGTAAACTCTCCCTTTTCCCTTTTCAGCTTCAATTTGGCCGAAGTAAAGGGGAAAGTTATTTTTGTTGCACCGAATTGACAATCAAATTATTGACCTTAAGATTCGCGTTGATCAGATTTAAATATTTTAGATTTGTTCTTTGTCAATCAAAGCTCCTAAATTAGAATTTATTTTCATTATTCAAATGGAAAAAATGACAAAAATCTTGCGAATTTAATCTCTTTCTTTACTCGTAATTGCTTGGACAACCTCCTCCCAAAACTTCTCTACTGAAATTAAAAAAAGAAAAAAAAAAGGACCAAATTGAAGATTGGATTGGATAAAAGCTTGAGATGCCATGGCTAATCTGTAATTCTAAAAGAATATTAAGAGTAAAATACAATTTTTTTCTCTCAAATTATTATCACGTTAACACTTACCTTATTAAATTATGAAATATAATGGTTTACCCCCTTAGTTTTACATTCACAATTAAACAAAATGATTGCTTTTGATATACTCATTTAGTTTACTATAATACCTCTTAATTTTGTTTTCAATTTATCATAGTAACTTTCAACTTTACTCATCTCCTTACTTAAGTGCGATATTATTGAGGAATAGATTTTTTTAATTTATTAAAATATTTTTGATCATAATGAAAATTAATTTTTTTAAAATTGATTGAGAGATAAATTTTTAAATTAATAATTTTTTGTTATAATAAAAATTATTATAAATAGACAATATTTGTTAAATTATAAACAGTGAACAAGAAAGTCAAAGAATTAATTTTATAAAAACTGTTATTTTTTTAATTACAATAAAAACTATTATTTTATATATTAATTACGGGATAATTTTTTACTATAAAAAGTTTTTATTTGTAATAAATATTTATTAAATTATGAATGGTATGTATAGCAAGAGTTAAGAGCTATTTTAGTAATTTAATTAATATATTAAATTTATTAATTATTTTTAATTATAAATATAAAATAAAAAATAAATTAGTATATTTATAATTCAGAGAATAAATATTATTAAGATAATAATTTGAAGGACTAATTACATTTTAAACAAATATTTGTTGAAGAGAAAAAAATTAATTAACATTAATACAAATATAAAAAATTTAATTCTTCCAAGTGCCGCTCTTTGGACAACCCAGACGCTTTCCCTCTTTAGGCCATCAAACGCGGCCGTCTCAGAGGCTTTGTGAGGTGAGGCCACGCGTTCCCATTTTTGGCCATTAATTTATAGCGTGACCAAAACCAGACATCAATTTTCGTTCAGACCGAATGCTCACACCTAACAACATTTTCTTAGATCACATGTTAAATGAGAAAATATATTTAATAGGAAGAAAATAAAAATAAAAATAAGAATAACATAAAATAGAATAATTTTTTTTTTTATAAATTTATTTGATATACAATTTTTTATTATTATATTTATTATGTTATAATAAAAGTAGAAAATGAAATCAAAAAATTGTATAAAGATAAATATATATTTTTTAAAAAAATTATAAAATTATAAAATTTTCATTCTAATAATAAATATTAAATTAAATTATATTATATTATACGTAAATATGTAAATATGTGTATATAATATTATACATATATATTAATATATAATATTATAAATACTTGTAATTTTATAATTTTTATAAAAAATAAAGAATGACGTAAAATTATACGAATGAGTGATGAAAATGGATTAAGATTTATTCAAATATCTATCAAATATAATTTTTAAAAATTTTTTATTCTATTTCTATTTTATAAAAAATTCCATCATATCCTAATTTTTTAAACTTTCACCATATTTTTAAGAATTTAACTTAAATTTATTTTTTCAAGTTTTCGAAATTATGAGTTTTGAAATTTTAAAATTTAGAAAACTTTTATATTAAATTTTCAAAAATTGAATTATTGAGTAAAAGTTTTTTAATTTTTAAAATTCTCAAGCCATATCACTTACAATAAATTCCGACTGTGTTGATTTTGACTACTAATGGTCACAACCATATCACGAGCACCCAATCAAGTACGAACTGTTAAATTCTCTCGATTGCCTCAGTTTCTTTTTTTTATTTTCATTTTCCCCCCTATTTCTTTAGGCCAATCGAAACGAGGGCAAAACCCCTTCCTTCACGTTGCACCCCTTTCCCGATTCCAAATTTATGATAGAACCAGGCACGGTCGATACGTATAGTGTATATATACGCGTGATGGTAGTTGACGATGGAGGCCTCTCTCTCTCTCTCTCTCTCTCTCTCTAGGTTGCTCTAGTCGGGTTTGTTTCTTCTAGTGGCACCGGCCATGGAAAATCCAGGGAAGAGGGTGTTGATCACCTCCAATGGCGACGAGATCTCGCTCAATATTGCCTTCCATTTAGCAAAACGGGGTTGCAGGTCTCGTCTCCCTCGACATGTTTCTATCTATTTACAGTCTTTCATGGAAATTAATTCCTGTACTGTAATCTGGAGTTTGCAGGTCCAGTTTTTTTCCTTTTTTTTTTTTATATCTTACTATCTGTTTGTCTCTCTGCGTAACCATCAGATTAGTTCTAATGGGGGACGAATCCAGCCTAAGAAGTGCTGCGGAGAAGATAACGGGGTCCGTAGACAGCGCCCTTTTAGTGGAAGTTGTTGGACTGGATATGGAAGAAGAGAAAGAGGTGGTCTTCGACGCGGCGGTGAACGACGCGTTCAAGGTTCTGGGTGGCTTGGACTCTTTCGTCCATTGCTACTCTTACGAAGGTGACATTTGCAGATTTTCTTTTAGCTATTGAGAGATCATATTCTTTATTCTTTTGAAGGAATTACTATAAATTCCCGAGAATTGGTTCTGGGAAAAGAGGTGGAATTGAATCCGAAAACAGGGGAATCGCTTTAGGGGCCTTCCCCCAAAAAATGGTGTATTTACCGATTGGCCCTTTAAAATATTTTAAATTTTTCTAACAACCAACTTACTTTATAATTTTGCGTTCAGTTCACTTCCTAGGTTCGAAGAAAACTCTCTAGCTTGCTAATCGTACCCATCCATCTACTCTTACATGACTTTTTTTTCCCTTTTTTATCTATTTGTCTGTCTGATATTTAATTTGAGCAGTTAGCTTCACAGTATTTATGACAGCTTTTCACTAGTAGGTATGGGCCATCTGCTTACTTGCATTGATTTATTTATTTGATGCCGGTCCGATCCACTGGGTCAAACACTTCAACATCTGCATATCGGCATGAGAATGCTGAGCTAACAAATGTTAGGTGCATTAACCTATTAAATACAGGGTTAGTCCTTCCTATTCAATACAGGATCTAGATGATGCTTACATGTGAGCGAATTTACGTAGACAAATAAAAACTAAAAAAGATATTTAGAATTTTGGGGTGGGTAGGTATACCTGAAAGCAAAAGCAGAGCAATAGAAGTAGAAGAGTAATTATAGAGGTACGAGATGGGTACCGTGAACAACCTTCCATCATTTTTCAATGCGGTGCCATCTTAGCATAGTTATATGTTTACTTCATCACGAAGTGTCCATAACTCATAAAGTGCTAGCTTCTGGTCTGGGAAAATCCTTATTGCCAAAGTTGCTTGTGGTGAATATTCTTAATCATCCTTCAGCCAGTAGTTATGGAATATTGGTGAGTTTGACGGTTTAGATGTGATATATAATTCACATAAGTTACCACAGAGTGAATTATCTGATGAGGGAGATTCTGGGTCTTAAAACAAGTTTTAGTCGACTTGTGATTCTAATACAAACAAATTAAATTGAACTCTTGTAAACAGATGAATCAAATTTTCATTTGTTTTCACCAAATTGGTCGAAAATTTTCCCTTTCTAAAGGGAGCTGAATGAGAAGAAATTTTAGTATTTTGACTAGTGTAGGAGAATTTTTTGTTTGTTTTTCCTTTTCCTTTGTAATAATGAGTATTGAACCCTGAATTTGTTCAATCGTTAATCTTTATGTGTTTTGATAAAACCGAACATGCATTTCCTCTGCTTGTTCTTATAGTATCACCGAACTTCTCTGAAACAGTTCCACTTGTTTCCAAAACAAATGTTCTGACATTGCGAGGAACTGTTATTTAAGCAGAGCTAATGTTTTGGATTATTGAAACAGGAAAGGTGCAAGACCCTCTGCAGTTGGCTGATGATGAGTTTAAGAAGATAGTGAAAATAAATCTTATGAGCGCGTGGTATTTGATGAAGGCTGTTGCAAGGAGAATGCGCGATAGCAAATCAGGAGGATCAATTGTGTTTTTGACTACACTAATTGGTGCTGAGAGAGGCATATATCCGGGAAGTGCTGCTTATGGTACATGCTTGGCAGGAATACAGCAGCTGGTTAGGGTAAGATATCTCCAACATTATTCTGCTCTTTCATCTTAATCATGCTTAAATTTTACTCTCTCTTTCCATGCCAGTTCATTCCATAAACGAGGCAGATTTGGGTATTAATGCTTTTAATCCCCAAAAATTTTGCGACTTTTTTCTTGTTATGCTAGTGGGTTAGTGAATCAACTATTTCATTCCTTTTTAAGATTTAAAAATTAAGATGCTCTGTTAGCTTTGCTTATTGTAATCATAGTCGTCAAATCATAAATTATATCAAGAATCATTCATTTAATTTTAGAGTCGTGAAATAATGCATTTTACAATTCAAAAATATATCAATAAAATGTTTAAATATAGATAATTTTATATTTAAAACATGAATAAAATACTTTAAAAACTCAAATAAATATTTAAATATTACATGGGAATGGAGCTTGAAATTTTGTATCTAGGTGCCAATGGGGACAACTTTTATAAATTAATCTATTAAAAAATGACACATAATTATTTTTAAATTTTAATATAAAAGAAGGGTTAATATTGAAATTTATATAAATTTGTAATTATGAAATTGTTAATTCTAGATTTAATCTAAACAAAATATATATTAAGTATAAAAATTTATCAAATTGTGAATCGTATTATAATTATAGAGACTCATGCAATTTAGATACATTTGCAATTCAATAGCACTGATTGTAATACTCTGTCCTGTTTGCAACATGTTTACCCAACATTGGAACAATTAGGAGAATCTTGTTGGGAGTTTGAAATTGTTATATTGATATGTATATATTTATGTATGTGTGACGAATTGTTATCAGATCTCCGCCATGGATATTGGGAAATACCAGATCAGAGTAAATGCAATAGCCCGTGGGTTGCACCTAGAGGATGAGTACCCAATCACAGTAGGGAAGGAGAGGGCACAGAGGTTGGTGACGCAAGCAACCCCGCTGCGGAGGTGGCTGGACGCGAAGAATGACCTGGCTTCCACCGTCATATATTTAATTAGCGATGACTCTCGTTACATGACCGGAACCACCATCTTTGTCGACGGGGCCCAGTCCATTGTCCGGCCTCGGATGCGTTCTTATATGTGACGATATCTCAAATTTTTTCAAGCCAGTAGTTGTGGAGGATTGGGAATAATATAAAAGAAAACCTACTAATGGTTCTCTTGTCTAGATGTACCCAATTCACAAAACTACTCTAAATTAGATTTGGTTCGGGACCCAAAAGCCCTTTTAATCATAAATTAAGCTTCTAAAAGGGCTTAATAATGGATGAAGTTCCTTTATTTTATTAAGAAAATCCCTGTAAGGTTTACTTATCTAAGCCATCCAGTTACCTCATCCCTCCTCTCAACTCCCTGACTCTGTTATCTGAATGTCTCTGATTGGTTCTGAAAAATGTTGCACCACTTGACCGGTCTCTGATTGGTTCAAATGTTAACTCATATCAATTTTATTTTTTTTTTTTCCAAACTTTTTGACGCGTGTGGACATATTTGACTGAAAGGAAAATGAGGGGGTTGGGCGGCTATAATTGGTTTATGCAGGGACCGTTGTTACATTAAAGATAAAATATTTCTTTAACCAAGCGCTTTAATAAGCTTAAAACTCCAAGCAAATCTTATTTATCAACGGTCAAATTATAAAAAATAAAAATCAATTCTTTTTTTTTATTCCTGCGTTATCCCAAAAAGTTTAAAGTAAAAATAAATGGAATGGCAGATAGAATATTTATTTATTAAGGGCATGTAGGTAAGATAGTATATGGCAAGACTGAGCAAGTTTTAAATAAATTTATTATATTCACGTGGCATTTTTATTATTATCACTTATTCAGTAATTTTTTAATTTTAATATTAAAAAAATTAGATTAAATTTTAAATTATCCAAATATCCTTGAAGTAGCATAGCAACCAACCACAAACAATGCCAGTAAAAAAAAAATTTCAACGTCCCCAACCCACATTGAACGGCAGTTGGATTCCAGATTAAATGGTCAGAAATGAGATTTTGAGGTTCAATCTAGAGGACAATGAATGGCAAACTGATCTCGTTGTTGAAAGGCTAGATTGGAATGATCGAGTTCATGATTTGGCTATTGAATGACGAACTGAAGATAATGTATGGTGGACCAATCTGGCTGTTGAATGGCCAGATCTAAACAACCAAGGTCACGATTTGGCTGTTGAATGGTGGATCGAGGTTTGATTTGGAAGACGATGATGTTGGGTGTCAATTTAGAAGATGGTTGTTAGACAGTCAGTCTGCATTCTCTATGAACAGTGATCTAGAAGCTTTGATCTCAACTAAGGTCACGAACAACAGGTTTTCTGCTCTCCATGGGCAGCATTAACAAACGGTTAGAAGAAGGCGTGCACATAAGGAGAAGAGTATATTTGAAGAATTTGACCAGTAAATAGTAAAAGTATTCAAAGATTAATTTTGAAACACTATTCAATAGTGATAAAACGCTAAATCACCCACTAAGATAAGCTATTTAAATCTATTCAGACATTTTACCCAGAATTTTATCATACAACATTGAATACATAAAAAAAAAATAGATACATATCTTTATTTTTGTCTTTCTCCAGCTTTATTCAGGATACCCCACATGCTATAATATTATTGAACTGTGAAACTATGATCTAAATTTGGGGGGATGGCTAGCTGCGTTCATTAATTGAAGACTTAATGCAACTACCCACTGCCTTGGCTCAAATTAGTGGAACCCAATGCTTTGACGTTGACTGACTCCTCCCTTTTTTGCTAAAGAATTAAATAAATTGAACTAAATCGTTTAGATCATATAAATTGAATTAAATTGCATTAAATTGAACTAATTGTATAATTTGATTTGATTTGATATTTGATATCTAAACAAATTATATAAATCAAATCAAACCGTATAATTTATATATATACAAAATTAAAAATTCTATCTCTATATATAGTATATTTTTTATTTGACTGTATATTTCTTTTTTTTATTATCTTTTATATTTATATTCATTCCAATAATTAATTATTTCTTTTTTAGAGTATGATTTCTATTAGTGTCACGGCCTAAATCTCAGGCCCGTAATCGGTATTAGTCAGCCTCACAATCAGAAAAAATGCTCAAAACCAACCAAACATAAATACATCTCAAAACGTTCAACTACCAATCCAGAATCTTGTGAATAATAAAGGGAGTATTAGAATACAAAATAGATAAACAAAGAACTCGTCCGTACATCGAACAGAGCTGCAGATGACTGCCTCAACTCTGGCGCGCTACTCAAGAACAACAACCTAAATCTGGAAAGTTTATAAAAAGTGAGTTGTGAAACTCAATGAATACAGATGATACCTAGTCTACGCATGCTGGGATATTTATCGCACCACAAGTCCTAAAACCACACATATGCAGGCATATACATAATGAGTATTATACTAGTATCAAATATACATACGTAGGAGGACAATGATTACTGAAATTCCAGCATCGATCGAAGGAATTCTCCGTCTCACGATCAGACCCCAACGCAGTCACATATCACGCTTCCAGTCGAGAGGCATCTTCCATCTCACGACTGGAGCCACACGCCCACCAAGGCAAACCACATCACACTCCTGGTCGAGAGGCACCCTTCATCTCACGACCAGAGTAAAACGGTCTCAGTCCAACACCAACTCCCCACGTATCCAATCCCAGATACATAACATAAACAGTCACACAATCTCAAAATCAGTCTCACATACCAACATAACTCACTGAACAACAATAAAACACACAACCCATATCCCGAGGTTCATATGACAAAAATACAGTTTGCAAGATCCATGTAGTCATCATACTATAAAACACATGTATAAAAAATGTATCATCACTCACTGTACAGGCCGAGTCAAAAAGAAGCCTCAGGTCACCTCAACCAACTCTATAGTCCGGGTACTCCTCCACAGGTGAATCTGAAACTAAAACCATACAAAACCATTACCAACCCCATCGCCAGCACAAAAATGGGCTCGACAGCCTAAAACTATATTTAAGTCCAATCCCTGCACCTTGGCATGTATCCTAAGGCAACACTACCTATCACCAGGACTCACGTGACTCACTAACACTCAACATTTCGACTCATGACCCTTAACAACAAAGAACTAGTCTCCACAATCCCCAACCCATAGTGAAACTGGTCTCTAAAATCCTCAAACCGGCCTAACCTGGTCTAAAACTATACCAAGCTAAACTAAATTAGCCACGAAACCCTCAAAATCGGATTCAGAAGACCTAAAAACCCCAGGAACCACCCTAAACTAGCCAAGAACCTCTCAAAACTAAGCTGAACCGAGCCAAAAACCCTAATCCTAAGCACCAGCATGCGAAACGAGCCCAATTCACCTTGAACCACTCACCCAAAAATCACTAAACCACAAGGCTAGCTAGGTTTCATCATGTTGAACCAGGAACTGGTTCAACCTCCCCAAAACTGGCCTAAAAACCAATGAACCGGTCACCCGACTAGTACTTTACTAAACTGACTGGTTCACCTTGAACCGACCACCCAAAAATTCTCAAACCCACTTGGTCTGCTAGCCCTCATTCCCTTGGACCAGTAACCGATCCAATCACCAAGAAAACCGATTTAAAAAGCCTCAAACCGGCTGGTCAAACTTTCGGTCAACCCTGGTTGGTTCACCTTTCCAAAACCCTAATCCTAATATTTAATTAATAAATTCCAGAATATCTAATTCCTGCTATCCCAAATCAACCCCTATTTTGGCAGAGCCTATCCTTGGGGATAGCATAATCCAATTCTTTTTTGAGTCAACTCGGATAGGTTGACTCGCCTTCTTCTAAAACAGAGGGCCGAGTTGACCTACCGAGTCAACTCGGCCTAGTCTCGAGCCTAATCGGCCTGGACCAACCTGCGGCCCGGCCCATGCTCCATCCCCTCCCCTCATTGGGCTGGCCCGCGGCTCAAGACCGCAGCCCTGCAACCATTGTGGGCCGAGCCCGGGCCCAACAGCCCGGGCTGACCCTGTACGGGACCTAGACCCATCCGGGCCTTGTCTTCTTCACCCGACAGGGACCCGAATCCTTGTAACACCCGAAAACCAAAAAACACAAAAAGAAATCCAAATTTTCGCAATAAATCACTCACCCAACTGAGGCGAGACTACCACTTCGGATTTCTATGAGCCACAATCTCCGTAAAAAGTTTTAATCGGAGCTATTTCACCCAAATCCTTAGAAGTTTTCAGAACAAGCCCATCCGGTCCGTCGGCTCTTCTCTAGGTTCATTCCTCCCCTTTTTCCCACTCAAACTCAAATTAAACTTACCCTTGAACTTGTCTCTCTTTCTCGCACACTTATCCAAGGTTTGGAATGAGTTGCTTCACTCCTATTGGAGCAATTTTTCTTCTGAAACCTTTAGCCAGCTTCCGGCCGAAGGTCCCTTCCCCTCTGTCACAATCCGCCCTATTGAACTTTGATTCATTTCAAATAAGCCCCTTTGAATTTCTAAATTAGCCCCTAAACTTATATACTCGTCCAAATCAGCGCCTCCCTCTTCCATTCCTCTCAATTTAACCTCTAATTTTCTAAAATTGGTCCCCAATCTTTCTAAAATTTCACAAAGCACCCCATAACTTTTAATTTCTACAGACAGGTCCTCCCAGATCCTCAATTTAACCCCCAAAACACCCAATTAGTTCACTAACGCCCCTAACCAAAAAATTCCAACATTTAATTTAAAATTTAAGGCTATTACAATTAGCAATAGTGAAATTTTGTAAAACGGTATAAATATGTTTATTACATAATGTATAACTACTATAGTTAATTAATAAATAATAAATTTATTAAGGTAAAATATGTTGAAAAAAAATGGATGGCCAATTTTTAGGAAAATTCTATCAAAATTTTTTATAAAAATAGTGAATTTGATCTTTTTTTTTGTAAATCACAAACTATAGTTTGAAACTGAACCAAACCGTAAACCGTAATTCGATTTGGTTTATAAAAATTACAAACTGTAAAACATAGTTTAGAGTGAATTTTGAATCATTTCAAATAAGCCCCTTTGAATTTCTAAATTAGCCCCTAAACTTATATACTCGTCCAAATCAGCGCCTCCCTCTTCCATTCATCTCAATTTAACCTCTAATTTTTTTAAATTGGTCCCCAAATCTTTCTAAAATTGCACAAAGCACCCCATAACTTTTAATTTCTACAGACAGGTCCTCCCAGATCCTCAATTTAACCCCCAAAACACCCCATTAGTTCACTAACTAACACCCCTAACTGAAAAATTCCAACATTTAATTTAAAATTTAAGGCTATTACAATTAGCAATAGTGAAATTTTGTAAAACGGTATAAATATGTTTATTACATAATGTATAACTACTATAATTAATTAATAAATAATAAATTTATTAAGATAAAATATGTTGAAAAAAAATGGATGGCCAATTTTTTGAAAAATTCTATCAAAATTTTTTATATAAAATAGTGAATTTGATCTATTTTTTTTGTAAATCACAAACTATAGTTTGAAATTGAACCAAACCATAAACTGTAATTCGATTTGGTTTATAAAAATTACAAATTGTAAAACATAGTTTAGAGTGAATTTTGAATCATTTCAAATAAGCCCCTTTGAATTTCTAAACTAGCCCCTAAACTTATATACTCGTCTAAATCAGCGCCTCCCTCTTCCATTCCTCTCAATTTAACCTCTAATTTTTTGAAATTGGTCCCCAAATCTTTCTAAAATTTCACAAAGCACCCCATAACTTTTAATTTCTACAGACAGGTCCTCCCAGATCCTCAATTTAACCCCCAAAACACCCAATTAGTTCACTAACACCCCTAACCGAAAAAATTCCAACATTTAATTTAAAATTTAAGGCTATTACAATTAGTAATAGTGAAATTTTGTAAAACGGTATAAATATGTTTATTACATAATGTATAACTACTATAGTTAATTAATAAATAATAAATTTATTAAGGTAAAATATGTTGAAAAAAAATGGATAGCCAATTTTTAGAAAAAATTCTATCAAAATTTTTTATAAAAATAGTGAATTTGATCTATTTTTTTTGTAAATCACAAACTATAGTTTGAAACTGAACCAAACCGTAAACCGTAATTCAATTTGGTTTATAAAAATTACAAACTGTAAAACATAGTTTAGAGTGAATTTGAATATCAAACCGAACCAAATCAAACCACAAACACTCTACTTTTTGCAACTCCCATTTTACTTAAATTAAAAAAAAAAATTTGAATTGTTTGTATAAGGCCCAATATTAGAGTTGTGCTCAAAGATGGGTCCATGGGCCAAGGGTTTCCACTTCCATCACTAACAGCGAAGATAATTTGATTAGTGTTACAAAAAAAGAAGAAAAAAGATAATTTGATTACTATTTTTGAAGTAGTTAAAAGACTGGGCTAACAAACATTTATAATGAAGTTTCTCAACCGAGGTTTGTTGGTTTAGTTTGTTTTCCCTTTGGGCTTAGGCTCCTCTCATTCCCCAATATATATATATATATATATATTGTTTATCTTTATGTTTCATAAATAAAACATAATTAAACTTAACCTTGCGCCAGTTCAGGAAGTTCATTGCTCTGGGGTCCCCAAGTCAAAACTCGTGGAACCAAAGTGCAGTGCAATCGGGTAAAGCCTGCCCTTCACTTAAGAACAAAAGAGTTATTTATTTGTAATGCACGATAAGTCAAAGCAGTAGGAGCAATTCACTGATTAATTAATCTGAGAAATTTGAAGGGGCGTCCCCCCAGCCATCTTCTTTCACATCATGGTTTGAGTGCTTTCTCATGCTGATTTGATTTTTCCCACTTTTTCACTGGTCTTTTAACTCGTCTCATTTCCTCAATCACCCCAATTAAATCTGTTTCTTTGCAACCACTCAATCAATCTCCCTGTCCCTTCCTCCTCCTTTTTTTTTTTTTTTTTCCTCTCTCTCTCTCTCTCTCTCTCAGGTAAAATCCTAAATTTTCCGATTCTAAACAAAGCTTTTTATTCGGATATCATTTTCTATATTAATTCAAAAATTAATATATTAACCTAATTATGAATAAAATTACATATTATTTAGGATCTTTTATTTTATCTTTCGTTTTTTTTATCGTGAGAATAAAACTGAAAAAGGGGCTTTTTACATGACTTCTACCATCAGACAACATAAAAAATGCTTTTAATTGTCACGTAGTATATGTTGTTAGTCATGCGCATCCGGCAGCTTCGCCAACGTAGCAAACTTGAAGACTGGTTCATTCACCTGCACCACCCTTCTAGACATTGGTCTTTGTCTTAATCATCAAGCTACCTTGATTTTCCACATCTTAATTTCCAATTCAACACGTTTATCAAACTATTACTCTCTCTCTCTCTCTCTCTCCTCTCTCTCTCTCTCTCTCTAACTTTAGAGAGGCAAACTTGTCATGCACAACTATTTAAATTATTAATTTAATAAACAAATGATTATATGTTTTGGGGAATTATTTATCGTAAAAAATGTATCAATGTGATTGTATTAAAATTTAAAAATAATGAAAGAGAATATAGAGATAATTATAGATGAAATGCTAACATAAGCCAAGAATGAAAAAGTCAGGGAAGAAACGCTTTTTTCAACCTGCTTACACATGTAAAATAAAAAATATATATCTTTAAGCAGAATTTAAGTGACACAAACATCCCCTTAATTAAATACTCCATGGAACAAATATATAAACTATTTTTTTGGTCTAGAGCAGCCTTGACCACTTTTCCCCTTGATTTTGGACCCAAAAATACCTTTATAATCTCTTATTCTTCTTAATTTCTTGTCATTCCGCACAAGAACTTTTTCAATGGCGGACCACGCCATGCCTTTCCATCAAGCCCCGTCATCGTCTATTTCTCTCTCCTCAACCATGAAAATAAGTTCTCCATCAACTGCTAACGATCTTTATGCTAACAGAGCCCTCACTGGTTTCTTCGGGTTGAAGGTGGAGGACCAATCTCAGGCTAGAAATATTGGTAATGGTGGAAGCTTTGGGGTGCCTGGAAATGGAGATAAAACAGGCGGGAAGAAAGGAAAGAAGAAAATTAGGTTTCCCAGATTTGCTTTTCGAACGACGACCCAGGTTGACATATTGGATGATGGGTATAGGTGGAGGAAGTACGGCCAAAAAGCTGTGAAGAACAACAAATTTCCAAGGTCAGTTCGAACTCTCTTCATTTATATATTCATTATGTGCGAAAGAAACCCTGATCTTGTGTGTGTATTTTCAGCTCTAAAGATCACAAACACTTAGTTAGAAAATGGTTCAAATCAGATCAGCCTTGTTTTGTTGAGGGTAAGCAGAAAATGGTTCCATATATGGTGCGGTCAGTCAGTCACACACGCGCGCGCGTATTCTTCTAACAAAAAATCTAGCGTTGAGGATATATATAACTGCATATATATACCCCTTTCAACAGCACCACTGTGATCTGAATAAAGCAAATTAAACAAATGAAATAATCAGAAAGAAAATAAAGAGGAAGGAGATGGAAGTGTTTACATGCTTTGGCAGTGATGATAATACACATAGAATATGATTTTTATATATACATTAGTAGAAATAAAATATGATATTTGTTATTTTTATTTTTATTATTGTTAGCAATTGTAAATTTATTAAGGTCTGATAATGCATCTTGATTTTAAAAATGTGATTGCATATTATTTTATAAAATCTTATACATATTATTAGGTAGTTTAATGGACAAAAAAACACGCAAATACGAGCGCTCAACTTAGATTTTACATTAAGTTAAAGAAAAAGTACTTTTGTATTCCTTTACATTTTCATAAATAAAAATTTTGAAAATATTTCTCCTTAACAAAAATTTTTTGCTTACAAAAGTTCTAAAAATTTTGTAGACATGTATATATGTATGTATATATATATATGAGTGTACATACACATGTAATATATGTATATATATATATGCAGGTATATATGTATAGATAATTGTATATACAATACATACATATACATGTATACATATATGTATGTGTCTACATACATACATACATATACGGCAACATAAATTGAATAAATAATTTATTTATATAATTATTAAATATAGATAAATTAAATCTAAAATCCAACCAAATCAATCCGAACTAAAATTTTAAATTTGGTTTAATTCAGTTTGTAATTAAATCGGTTTAAGTTTTAAAATACTTAAACCAAAAACCAAAACCAAACTTAACTATAAAAAATCAAATCAAAATTTCTATTTGCACACTGTCATGTAAATTAAAATTCCAGTTTGATGATAATTGGCAAATATGCTCTATCTTTGTGCATATTTCTCCCTGATAAAGGTTTTTATTTTTCCTTTGTTTAGAGACTAAACATCTATCCGTGAGAGAACAAGAATCCAACCTTAATTTTTGGTTTAAACCCTATAAATGTTTCGTTACCGGTTCAAACTAGGCAAAATTCAATGCATAAATAGGTTAATTCAAACTATCACTAACATCAAATTAGAATTTTTTTCCTAATTTTTCTTTTATAGACGTTTCACGTTGGATTTATTTAAGTACAAATTCTAGTCTCTCGAAAAGTTAAAAGGTATATTCCCCTAGATGATGGAAAAAATGACGAAAGGTTCAATAAGGATACCGAGTACCTTAACTTTTAATGGAAAGATTTCGGATTTTTTCTTCTTCTCCGAATTCTATAAATTGGGCAATGGTAGGCATATGTAGCTCTCAAGCAGCACGTTTAATTTGAAGTTTGCCCCATTAGTTTAACTATGAGTTAGGTTAAAAAACGATTCGAATGAGATTTTTTAATTAAAATTAGAGAAGATTAGTTAAAATCAGTCAAGAATTAATAAAATTAACTAGTTTTGATCGGTTTATTCATATTAATTTTAACTGATTTGAAATAATATATTTATTAATTTTATTTAAAATTTGTTTTTTGAATTTATTTAGTTTAAATTATGTTATACTTATTATAAAATAAAGAGTATACTATTTTATAATTAAATAATATATTTATTATTTTATTATATTTTAAATATTTTTGTTGTCAATTAATTTGACTGACCGTCTAATTGGTTGAATTAATTGAATAGTAACCTAATGAATTTACTAGTTTGATTACCGTAATGGTCTGGATTTTGAAGCATTGGAAATTAGTAGGCACATGCAGCTCTCCTGCAAGAGGTTTTGAAGCTTCAGCTTGTGTTGGCTTTTTTACTTGCTTAATTTGATTTCTTTTTAACATGTTGATGAAAAAAGTGTTGATTTAGTTTATTTATTTTATTGGGTGGGCATGCAGAAGCTACTACCGGTGCAGCCATCAAGGGTGCAGTGTGAAGAAGCAAGTGCAGCGTCAGTCCAAAGATGAAGGGGTGGTGGTGACAACATATGAAGGGGTTCACACACATGCTGTAGAAAACCCTACAGACAATTTTGAGCAGATCTTGAGCCAGATGCATATTTATCCTCCCTTTTTCTGACCTAATAAATTAGTCCTTCACTAAATACTTGGAAATAAGCCACATGCTTCGCTCCTCCTACCTCCAGTATTCTAAAACGCTCTTCTCTCTCTCTCTCTCTCTCCCTCTCTAGTTAAGCAACGAGGAGGAAAGTGACCTTGTGTTTTTCTGGTATAGTGGTTGATTTTATCCCACATTAGTTGGAGATTGTGTGTGAATAGAACTTAAGCGCATCAACTACTTTCTATTTTGAAAATGAATGTAGTTGTATGTTACTCCTTTGATTACTTCTTACAATGTTAGAAAATAGAGAAATGTAACAATTGGCATTCTAACCATCACGGCATTTGACACTTAAGATTAGGAAGAGTGTCACTAGATTAACATGCCATTAGTTAAGACATTCCATTTTTGATCGGTTAGATTATATTATAGGTGATCACGGTTCGGTTTTTCTCGGTTTTTTATAAAATTATACTGTATCAATTATTTTATTTTTTCAATATTAAAACAATATAAAACTATACTTTTTGATATTAGTATCATCACTTCAATTTTATTTAGTTTCGGTATGGTATGGTATGGTTCGGTACAATTTTTATTTTTTTTAATATATTAAAGTATTTTAGTAAATTAATAAAATTTTTACAAAATCACACTAAAAAATTTTTAATATATAATCAATGCAAAAAAAATCAAATTATTTCAAGATAATATAATGTAAATACTTTCTTATACATTTAAGGATTTAATTTCAAAACTTTCATTAATAACTATCAATAATTATATTTTTGATCTTATAATGTATTAGAAACAAATTAAAAATCATAAGAAAATAAATGAAAAAGTTAATTTTGTTTAATTAAATTTAATATGAAAAATTTAATCAATTTAATTAAAAACTTACCATCATTAGAGGATTTAATTAACGTACATATAATATAAATACTTTAATTAATAACTTATAATCTAATTATTTAGAAGTATAATAATTTTATATATAATATAAATAATTTAATAAATTAGTATGTATAATATTTCAATATGATATAGTTTAAATTTTAATTTATTTTTCTTTAAATATGTATTCATTATTTTTCATTTACTTTTTGTTCATAGTTGAGATATAAGATTCAATAATTTTTGTTTTGAAAATTAAAATTCAATTCTCAATTATTTATATTTATTTAACAATGGTAATTTTTTTAACTTAAGGTTTTTTATGGAAAAAAATTCAATAATTAGTTCAAATTTCTTTACATATAATTTTTTTTATTTAATTTTTTTCTAGAAACTATTTTTTAGATTTGTTGAATGAAACTTTTTCTTATTTATAATGGAAAAGTGTATTTAAGTAGTTTTTTTTTTGTTAGAGCTTTCCCTCTGCTAGATAAATTATAAATTTAAATTAAGTAATAAATTGGTAAGTGATTCACTATATTGTAACATAAATTTGATAATAAAAGAAAAAAATAAAGAAAAGAATGACCTCATTCTCTAATAAATACACAAAAGTTAAGTAACTAGTTATAAGAGTATAAGATATATATTAGACTCATTTTTACACTTTAATACATAATATTTACACTTTTTTTTATACAAGTTCTTAATATTTTAATATTTTAATTTACTATTAAATTATAATTAATATTTAAAAATTTAATTATTTTATATATGATATAAATAATTTAATAAATCATTATAAATAATATTTAGGTTGGTACAATTTTTTATCATTTTTACTTTATAAAATTAAAATTGTTCTAAAATATTTTATACAATATTAAATAATACTAAAATTCATAATTTTTGTTAAAAAAATTTAATTTTCAATATAATTTAATTTAATATAATTTTAAAAATCATAAAGACTCCCGTACCATGTGTAAATTAGATCTGATCAGATTTGACAAGGGTAGACGGTGGACCCGAGTATGGATCTGACTGATCTGCTGTTGGGGACTGGATTCCATGATTGTAGATGGATCTGGATCTTGGCAGGACAAGTCCAAAGCATGTTTGGGCCAAACCCGTTTGAATTGGATGATAAACATGCCGGCCCTACACCATCTACGGAGCTTAGTTCCGTGTTCCAATTGAGTTTTACTTGCGTTTGCTCGGCAAGTACTTGAGAAAATCGAACCCAATAGTTATCATCCCCCAATTGGTCAAACAGGTAAATAAGATATAATAATTAATTTTTTTCGTGGGCCACCGTCGTCAATTCGAGAGGGCGCTTTCAGAATGAATTATTTCCGTGAAATATTTTACTACCCACATGAAAAAAGTTTTAAATTAAATATTTTAAAAAAAATTTAGCAATTAAGTCCGTAAAAATAGCAGAAATGTCACAAAATCCCAGAAATTTTGGGTGCCAAACACCTTCTTTCAATAATTTAAAATTTAATATTTTAATTTTAGAATTTTATTTGAAATAAAAAATAAAAAGTTCAAACTGAAAAAGGATAAGCTATGAGCGGACGTAAAGGTCTTTCACGTTTTGATGAAAGAAAGCTGTAGTTTCAATGTGAGAGAGATGGGTGCGTGTAACTTATAATGGTTTGAAGGAAAGTGATTTCATCTTCTCGAGTGTCAATTTCCAAACAGGGTGTTAAGCGGTCCAGCCCACATTTTAACGTGTAATCCAAGTTTAGAGAAGGGTTTGGGATGGTGTAAGCGGCATCGACTCTCCTGTCTGCCCTTCCTTGGGTTGCGTCCATGTCCGAGGTGGTCCATTTCCTAATACAATCAAAACTCTGTTTGCTGGATGAACGGTGAACAATAAAAATGATTAAGTTGTGCAAATAACTTATACTAATTTTATAAAATTTAGCCATGTTTAAATTTAATATTTAAAATTAAATATATTAAATAATATTTATTGTTAATTATAACATTTTGACTTAACTTTTTAAAATTTTAACAACTAATTATTTAATAATAATATTTAAAAAATTCAACTTTAGGACCTTTAAATTTTAACAATTAATTATTTAATAGTAATATTTAAAAAATTCAACTTCAAGAATAAAAAATTCATGGGATAAATACAATGGCTGGCTTAATGATATCAATTTTAAGACGATAAATATTATATCATATAGTACACGGAATTATATAAGACAAAGAAAAAAAAATTTAAGGGTATAAAATAATTTTTACATTAGTTAAAACAATTCACCTAATTTTTATAATAAATTAATTCCAAATATAAGCATTTAATTTTCAATTTTATCATACAAAACCTTTACAAATCACTTTAATAACTTACAAAATTCAGAGCTTAATTTTGTATTTTACCAAGTTATTGTATTTAATAGCAAATTTATCTGTAAAGTATTTAGATAGCGTATGGTATGATAGAATCTTACTGAGGGAATAAGAATTGGAATAGTAATCCTAAAAAAGTGTGTTTGGTAAGTATTTAGAAATGAAAAAATAGGGATGAAGATTTTATTCTATAGTAGAATCCTTGTTTAAATATATAATTATCATGTTATCCTTTACTTTATAAATAGATGACAAAAATATCTCATAAATGTAAAAAGTATAAGTTTTTGTAATATTTTATATTAATATAATATGTTATATATATATATATTATAATATAATATAATTATATATTTTCTATACCTGGTATAATATAATAAATTGTATAATATAATTTATTATATAATATATATTATGTAATTTATTGTATTTATGTAATATAGATATGTAACTTATTATATATATACATACAAACACACACATATATATGAATTTAATATTTTAACCTTAGAATAAAAAATTAATTTTAAAATTTTTTTAATATGTTCAAAATATATTTGTGACACTCCAAGAGAGAGGTCTCGCTAAATCCCAAAGAGGGGGGGTGTACGTGACACCCCAAAGGGGAATGAGTATGTGTGACACCCTTAGACGAATCTCATATCGACAAAACACATGAGAGATCTTGAACTTATAAGAGATTAGAAACTACTACTGAATAATTTGAGTTTAAGCATTTTGAGCTAATGGTTCAAGCTCAACAAGTTGCTAGGGCCAGTAGTACTCAGGTCGTTACAATATTAAAAGTTAATTTTTTTTAAATTATTAAATCCTTATAACAAATAGTATTTTTTGTCTTTAAATATTTTTTTTACTTTTCTACCTCTATTCCTATATGCCAAACATAATGATAAAATACGAATTTTCATTCGATCAGCATGTATTAAACATAATCATAATAATCTTAATTCCATTTCATTCTCATTCTTATTCCTACTTCCATTCTCATTTTATCGTATCAAATGACACCTTAAAAAAATATTTTTTTGCAAAGATAAAACTTACAATAAAGATATGCCACATGTAAAGGTCCCATAAAATAATTTAGCTCTAGCACGTCTAATAATTCGGTGGTGGTTAGTAAGAGCCACTTGGGTGGTAAGGCTGTCAACAGAGCAAATTTTAATTCGAATCCGATCTGAATCTGATCCAATTATTTAGGAGATTTAACCAATAAAAAATTCGATCGATATAATTCGATTAAAAAAATTCATAATTCAAAATAAATAGAACGAATATGAATCTTCTCTAATCTGATCCGTTAAAGATTTGAATCTGATTATAAAATATATATAATATGTCATATATAGATACTATATTATATATATTATAATATGTACACACACAACTATTATTGTATTTATATGTAGATGAATTTTAAAAAAAGTAAATAATGTGCGCTACAATTTAGTTTATAGAATTAAACAAACTTTGTTAAGCAAAAATATTTAAATAAAAATAAATAATTTATATAATATAATTAATCTTAATATTTATGATTCCTTTTATTTTTGTTTCAAAAATTTGTGATTGAATAAGTCGTCATTACTTTTGATTATTTAAATTTTATAGTATTAATTTTTATAAAGTATACTAATTACATGCTTCATTTGTCAGATTTTTTTTATTTTTGTCATTAACCTTTGTGTGGATAAATGTCATAATATTTAATATAATTTTTGTATTAAATT